GCTGGATAGAGTTTTGGTGAATGATTTTTGGTTCAGAGATTTCCTGCATACTTCTGCCCAACACTTGGCTATGAGTGGGTCTGATCATAGACCCTTACTTATCCAAATATCTTCTTCCTCCTCTAAAACTAAAGCCAAATTCAGATATCTGAACATGTGGTCAATGCATGGGGATTTTATTAATCAAGTAGCCAAGGCCTGGACTGATGTCCACCATCACATTCCAAGTATCAAGCTTTGGATGTTACCTAAAAAAGTCAGCAAACATCTCACTAATTGGAATTGGAAGGAGGTCGGGAACATTGATAAGAAAGTCCTTGAAGCTGAATGTTTTGCATTTAGAACAGCTCTTATCTTCTGATATGGGGTCTGAAAGGGACCTCCAATCAGCCAATGATAACTTATTGGACCTGATCAACATGCAATAGGCTCTCTATGCCCAAAAGACTAATAAAACCAGGTTTTGTGAGGGTGACAGAAACTCTAAATATTATCATGCTTGGATTAATTATAGGAGGAAAAGCAATACAATCCACAAAATCCTTTTTCAGGAAGGTCACTGGATTTCCAATGCTGAGGGAATTGCTAATGATGCTGTACATTATTTCCAAAAATTGTTCAGAGAAAATTCTATTTCCCACTCAACCATCAATGAAACACTGCCTGACAAGGAAAGGGAATTTACTAATAGTCTATCCCTTACTTATATTCCTGATGAAAATGAAATTTGGGCAGCTCTAAAATCCATTGACAGCACCAAGGTGGCTGGTCCTGATGGATTCTCTGCTGATTTCTACAAAAAGGCCTGGCATATTGTGAAGGGTGAAATTATTGCCACAGTTCAAAGTTTTTTCTGGGGGGCTGACCTCCCCAAATACTTCTCCTCTTCTACCATCACACTGGTTCCCAAGGATAAAACTCCTTGCAAATGGGAGGATTTCAGACCCATTAGTCTCACTTCTGTCATTTCTAAGATAATCAGTTAAGTCCTGGTCCAGAGATTACAACCCCACCTAAACAAGCTCATTTGCAAGAATCAGTCTGCTTTCATCAGGGATATAAGCATTGTTGATAATGTGCTCTTGGCCCAAGAATTGGTACTGGACAGAATCACTAGAGGAGGCAACTTAATTTTTAAATTAGAGATCAAAAAGGCTTATGATACTATAAGCTAGAGTTTCATTGAACAGGTCCTGATTGCTAGAGGTTCCTCAACCTCCTTTGTCTCTCTCATCAACAGATGGCTGTCCAATAATTTCCATTCAATCTTCATCAATGGATCCTCTAATGGGTTTTTTGGTGCTTCTAGAGGTATAAAACAAGGTGACCCCCTCTCCCCTACTATCTTTATCTTAGCTTTTGACTACTTATCCAGAAGTTTGAATGAGTTGGCATCCAGGAAACCCCATTCTCTTTATAGTCACAGATCTTCCACATTAATTAATCATCTGGCCTTTGCTGATGACATCATAATCTTTACAAAAGCTTCCAAAGTTGCAGTCAAACTATTAATGCAGAATCTGGAGACCTTTCAGGATGTTTCTGGAACAAAATTTAATAAACAGAAGTGCATTTCCATTTTCAGTAAGTAGTGCAAGAGTGAGTTTAAGTCCTGGATTACTGATTTCACTGGATCTAAAAACAGTTGCCTTCCAATGAAATACCTGGGGGTTGTTCTTATCAAAGGAAGAACTAAGAACATTCATTTTGATCATATAATTGACAAGGTCCAAAGTAAACTGCAAGCATGGGAGAATTCATTTTTATCCAATGGGGGTAGGATCACACTCCTCAAAAGTGTTCTATCTACTATTCCATCCTATCTACTGCAAATGAACATTCTGAAAAAGTCTTCTCAGAAATTGTTAGAAGGGATCTTCAATAGATTCCTATGGGCTGGCCATAGGAAGAAAAAACTTTGGACTTCTTGGGCTAAGGTGTGTAAACCCTTTGAGGAGGGTGGGTTAGGCTTCAAGTCTTTCTCCCATATTATGCACACTAATTTCTACAGACTCTGGTTCAAATTTAGATCACAGTCATCCCTTTGGGCTGAATTCCGAGGGTGGGTTAAGCTTCAAGTCTTTCTCCCAAATTATGCACACTAATTTCTGCAAACTCTGGCTCAGATTCAGATCTCAGTCCTCCCTATGGGCTGAATTCCTATGGGGCAAATATTGCAGATATCAACATCCTACCCAACTCTCTGTGGGTTTACGAGATTCCCCTATTTGGAAAAGGATGTTAAATGCTAGGCAGGATGCTGAACAATTGTTTATCTAAGAAATTGGTGAGGGCTTGGTTAACATCTAGTGGGATAATTGGACCTTGGATGGCTGCCTTCTGCATGATCAGATTGCTCCAGCT